ACCCCCAAACACTCTAAATTTATTGGCTATGACAAGCGGCATTTGGATATTATGGTTTTAGGTAGACACTTCAATTCAACTGGCACAAGTTTCTTTTCTTTTTCTTTTTCTTTTGAGTTGGAGTCTCACTCTGTCACCCAGACTGGGCTCCGGCGATCCTTCCGCCTCAGCCTTCCAAGGCACAGGTTTCTAATCAGAGAATAACATATGAAACAAATTTGTGTCAGGCATGGTGGCCCGCGCCTGTAGTCCCAGCACTTTGGGAAGCTGAGGCAGGAGGATAACTTGAGACCAGGAGTTCAAGACCACCCTGGGAAGCATAGTGAGACCCCATCACTGCAAAAAAATTTTTTTAAATTACCTGGGAATGGTGGCACAGACCTGTAGTCCTAGCTATTCAGGAGGTTGAGGCAGGAGGATCACTTGACCCCCAGAGACCGAAGTTGCAGTGAGCTATGATCACTGCAATCCAGACTAGGTGACGGAGCAAAACTCACTATGGAAGGCAGAGGTGACGAGAATTGCCTGAGCACAAGGGTTCAAGATCATCCTGGGCAACTTGGCCAGACCTCATCTCTACAATAAATAATAAAAATTAGCCAGGAAGATTGGCATGTGCCTGTAGTTCCAGCTACTTGGAAGGCTGAGGCAGAAGGATCGCCTGAGCCCAGCAGGTCGAGGCTGCAGTGGCCGTGAGCGTGCCACTGTACTCCAGCCTGGGTGACAGAGTGAGACTTTGACTCAAAAAAGAAAAAGAAACATCTGAATTGCACACCATATTTTGATGAACACAGAATGTTTTGGTTTCTGTAAGTATCCCAAGGGAGAGGCACAAAGTATCTTCAGTGGTTCTTTGTGCTGTCACTTGTCCCCACTCCACATGTTCTGACGCACTTTCATGTTCAGCTGTCACTTAGCTCTGAAGACGTTGCTGTTACTACTTTACTGTTAAGTACAATTTGAGTACAAAGCAGTCCTGACTCTAATCTAGCTCTCCTTAGGGATCGCTTGATTTACAATATATAACTTTTGCAAATGAGAAGATAAAGCAAGTTCCCAATCACTGCATCAGGTCCTGAGAAATCCTCAGGAGTCTGAGAAGCCTGAAGTGTGTCAAATGCAGTGGAGGGAGGATGAAAGGGGCTGCCGATGACCACACAGCACTGTCAGAGCAGCTCAAGAAGGCATGGAAGAAGGGGTGGGATGACCCACCCTTCGGAGAAATTGGTATAAGAGATTTTTAAGGAATGTAGTGTACTGTATAACAATTAAGGAGCGGTGGCTCATCCTGTAATTCCGTGCCTTGGGAAGCTGAGGTGAGTGGATGGCCTGAGCCCGCGGGTTCAAGACCCACCTGGGCAACTTGGTGAGACCTCATCTCTACAATAAATCAAAAAATCAGCCGGGGGTGGTAGCGCATGCCTGTAATTCCAGCTACTCGGAAGGCTGAGGCAGAAGGATAGCCGGAGTCCAGCAGGTCGAGGCTGTGGTGGCCGGGAGCGGCCGCTGCACTCCAGTCTGGGCAACAGAGTGAGACTCCAACTCAAAAAAAAAAAAAATTAAGGAAGTCGCCCAGAATTGGCTAATTCTCAAGATGATGAAGTCCATTTGATTCAGATACTCAACATGGAAGAGGCCCCCATCGCCTCTCCACAAAAAAATGCCTCTTAGGCCTCCAACACACACCCGAGAGCACATTTTCTCTCCCTCCTTTGGAAATCGTACTTATCAACTCATTTTCATTTTTCAACTGATGGGCAGTATTGGGATCTATACCAGCATTCCTCTCCCTGTCTGAGGTTCTCTGCAAATGCTCGTGAAGGCCTCACTTTAACCCAACGAATGGTATACTCTTATCACCTCCATGACCAGAGGAACCAGTGGCACACACAGCCAGGTGAGTAGGTGGCCCGCAGTCTGGCTCTGTAGTTGACCTCTTATTACACAGTATTACACTCTACTGCCCACATTTTTTATATGTACCAGTAAATATGTACTCTTGGCCTCACATGCAACCTGTGTTCTTTCCTGAAATACCATCACTTTTCTTTTGTGTATATAGTTTAATATATGACCATTGATGTCCCATTATAAAACACCTTCATTTTAGAGACTACTGACCAATAAGGAAACAGAAATGTGTTTTCCCCAGAGTTCAAGACAGTAAAATCAGGGACCCTCTTTTACAAACGTTTAATTTCCATTTTCTTAAATATTACTTAAAAAAAAACTTTAGGCCAGGCTCAGTGGCTCAAACCTGTAATCCCAACACTTTGGGAGGCCGAGGCCTGAGAATTGCTCAGGGGTTAGAGACCAGCCTGGGCAACTTGATGAGACCTTGTCTCTACAATAAATTTTAAAATGAAATGAAATAAAATAAGTCAGATGTGGTAGTGCGTCCCTGTAGTTCCAGCTATTTGGAAGGCTTGCCTGAGCCCAGCAGGTCAAGGCTACAGTGGTCTTGAGTGTGCCACTGCACTCCAGCCTGGGCGACAGAGTGAGACACCGACTCAAAAAAAAAAAAAAAAAAGGTTAATTTCCAAAAAGTTAGGGTATTTTGCTGATACTCTAAACAACTATTAAAATGTCTTCACTAAGATATTAATTAAGCCTAACATTTAGTTTATGTTTGTATGCTAATCTCCCTAGAAACAAAAGCTGTAACAACACAAACTGCACTTCAGCTTTCAATAATAAAAACAGATCTGAGGAAATGCCTCTTCATGGTTTGGTGAAGGCAAAGGTATTTCTCGCCCCTTCCAAACTCATTCTGCGGCATGTGAAACATTAAGATGGTTTTAATTTCTGAATTCAAAAGGCAATTAAATTAACAGGAAGAGAAAAAGCAGAAGAGGTGGAAAGACATTAAACTCCAGGAGTGTTGGGATATGTGAAGAGAACAGAATATACTTTGCAGAGTGGGACACTAATGTTTGACAATTTGAAATCAATATTCCCAAGGGACTGAGTTCAGAGCTGGGACCTTTATTTGCTGATGAAGGTTCCAATTTACTTGTCTCAGTCTGAGAACCCTTATTTAAAACAATCCTTTATTAAAACATCTTCCAACTCTCTTACAGGTTTTTAAAAAGTTATTTCTAGAATTGTATATAAAATATTTTGTCTTCGTTTCAGAAACTATTTTTTAAAGATCCACTTGGATACTACTTAAGGTTCTAAAATACTGACAGATAACACGAATGCACAGCAAGAAGAAAGGACAGGAGCTGACATGTGCAGGCACCGCTGCATGCCAGGAGCCGACCCAGGAAGCACAAGGAGAGCGATCTTGGTTCACCATGTTCGCAAGTCCTGGTGCCAATGGTGCAGGGCAGGCACCCGGCTAAATGGGTGACAAATGGGATAATCCACACAACCGAGAATTCAACTACAGTGACTTCTTTGTTCCCACGAATGTTCTTTTTCAATATTAGGGGGGAAAAAATCTGATTTCCAAGGCCAATTCACCAAAAACTGTACGTAGACAACTCACACCATATTTAATTAACTCATTTGGCATAAATTATTCACTTAAGGAAAAGGCATCTATTTCAGTTAATGTATTACAGTCCCTTCATGTCAATTCAGATACAAAAATCTAGTTTAGTGCTGTAGCTCCTTAGAAATCCCCACACCAGAAGAGCAGAAACCCGCTGCTGTTTGGAACTCTTGCAGGCTGTCGAGCTCCAAAACATTCCGTCCTATTACACAGCACCACCCACAAACCCACGTCTATCTGCTCATCGCGAGGCCTTCCAATATGCATCCCCCCAGTCCACGCCCCCCGTCCCAACTCATGTTTAAGGTGCTCAACACCTGTAGCATCCTTCACCTGCATGGCAGTTCGCAAATGCCACTTACGGTCAGTCTATCTCCCGCTCTAGGCCTTGAGGGCAATGTCATGACCTTGCAAGGCCAGTTTCAGCAAATGGCCAAGATAGGGCTAAGTAGCTTTCCTTTCCCCGGGAACAGACAGTTTTTTTCCTTTAGAGACAGTCTTGCTCTGTCTCTTGTGCACCAAGACATCAGTCCATGAGGGCGCTGATTTTGTTTCCTGATCGCTACCCCAGTACCCAGCAGGGAGCCTGCTACATAGTAGGTGCTTGACGAAAGCGCTCATCGAATCGGTCAGATCTTAGAGGGTCACTCTGCCCAGCACTGGAGGGTTTCTGACGGCGTCAAGGACATGAAGCAGGCCGGCGCGGTGGCTCATGCCTGCAATCCCAGTACTTTGGGAGATCGAGACGAGAGGATCGTTTGAGCCCAGAGTTCAAGACCAGCCTGGGCAACGCAGCGAGACCTCGTCTCAATTAAAAAACAAACTAGCAAACAAAAAGGACACGAAGCACACCCTGACCTCCCCCTAGGCTTTTTCTCAGGGCGCCTTGCAGGCCCGGCGGGGGAAGCCCCGAGACCTGGTGCCTGGCCTGGCAGCAGCAGCCCAGGAAGGATGTATCAAGCCGCATGAGTTCAAGACGGCCCTGGCATCCATTCGGCCTAAGGTCGCGGCCCCAAGGCCCCAGGGGACCCCAGGCCCCAGGGGACGTGGCGTGACCTTGCCCCGCCTAAGCCCGGCCCTTTCCCGGCGCGCCCTCCCGGCCTCGAAGTCGCCGCCTGCAGCCCCCGCGCCGGGGCCTCGGCGGGGCGAAGTGGGCCTGGCCTGGCCCTGCGACCCCCGGCCTGCGCCACGCGCGCCCACCCCTCCTCCACCCCGCGTGGCCGAGCTCCTCCATCCCTTGCAGAGCTCCCGATGCCCCCGCAAGCTTCCCTACCATTGCGGCTGCACGGCCCTGACCGACAGCCCCGCGACGCCCGCGCGAGAAAACATGGTGGCAGCCCAGCTGAAGGTCGGGCAGACAAGCCGCGAGGCGCATGCGCGGAAGCTGCCCGGCGCGTCCCTTCCACCTCGCTTTATTCCTCTGTCTCGCCGTCTCGCGCCATACCCGGGGAAATCTCGCGACTCTTTCTTGGCCCCACCTTTTTCCGCCGCTCTACTTGTATTTGTCCCGCCCCCCCATCAGCCGCTTCCGTTTCCGGTTTTCCAGCCGCTGGGGTTCCGACAGCAGTTGCTGCGGTGGTCGCGATGGGGAAGTCAGATTTCCTTACCCCCAAGGCTATCGCCAACAGGATCAAGTCCAAAGGGCTGCAGAAGCTGCGCTGGTATTGCCAGATGTGCCAGAAGCAGTGCCGGGACGAGGTGAGTGGGCCCGGAATGGCCCCAGCTCCCCGGGAGAGCCCCGCTGGGAGTCAGGTTCGAGTCGGGGCCGAGGGTCCCAGGTCCCCGTCGTGAGGCTTCCGGGGTCTGAACGGAGCGAGTCACTCGCTCAACTCCGTAAAACCGGCCGTCCCTGCACCCCCCGACCCTAAAGGGGAAACCTGTGGTCGTTGTCACTTCATTGCCACGTCCTCTACAAAACAGGTGAAATCAGAAAAAGTTTTGCAGCTCTCGTAGGAGCGTGGAGAGTGCAGCACGCCCGGACAGTGACAGTTGTGACAGTGACAGTGACAGTTGTCGTCTCTGCCTTGGCTAGACTCTTAAGACAAACAGGATGATTTGTCTTAACAGGATCCACACCTCTTTTGTGATCGGGTGAGAAAGGAAAACGAAGCCCTCCCATACTAATCTAACAAGCATCTGTTGAGCCACCTACACTGTGCCGGGACTAGGATAATATTGTGGTTAAGAGGGTGGATTTATCTGGAGTCAGACTGTCAGAATTATGAAGTCAAGCGGCCCACTTACTAGCTGTATGGTCTCGGCAAGTTAGGTGCTTAGATTCTCTTTCCTTGTTTGCTTATCTGTAAAGGGAGGGGTAAGAATTGTACCACTTGTAGGATTGTTGAGTTATAGACTAGTGAATGATTTTTAAAGTGGCTCAGGGAACCTTGGGCAGATCTTGAAAGGCTTTGTGTGCTGCACTATGGAGTTTACACTTTTCCCAAAAAACATGTGTCCATCGAATTGAGAACAGGCTAGTGATGTGATATTTTTCTCTGGAGATTGGATTGGGTGTCAGTGAAAGAATATTGAGGCAATTGGTGTACTCTCATCTGGTGTTTCTGTAAGTGAGAAAAGAGATATTATAAGTGAGACTCCCAATGAATAACATTGATTTAGTTATTCTCTTTCATTTTTCTTTTTTTTAAAGATGGTCTCATTTTACTTATTTATTTGCTTGTTTGTTTGTTTTTGAGTTGGAGTCTCTGTTGCCCAGGCTGGAGTGCAGTGGCACACTCACAGCCACCCCAGCGTCTACCTGTTAGGTTCTGGTGATCCTTTCGCCTCAGCCTTCCTAGTAACCAAACTACAGGCGCGTGCTATCATGCCCGGCTAGGTTTTGATTTATTGTAGAGATGAGGTCTCACCAAATTGTCCAGGCTGGTCTCCAACCAGCAGGCTCGGGTAATCCACTCACCTCAGCTTCCCAAAGTGCTGGGATTACAGGCTGAACCATCAAGCCCCGCCAAATATTAGCTTTATGTGTGTATGTGTGTGTATGTTGCAGTCTCACTCTGTCGCACAGGCTAGAGTACGGTGGCTTGCAAGTGACTCTTTCAAGTCAGGTGTAATGGACGCATGCATCTCTGATCCCAGCAACTCCAGAGACTGAGGTTGGAGGTTGGTTTGAGGCCAGGAGTTCAAGATCAACCTGGGCAACAGAGCAAGACCTCATCTCTAAAAAATGTTTAAATTAGCTATCCAGAAAAATTTAAAAATTAGCCGGGCATTGTGGTATGCACCTGTGTTGTCCCAGCTACTGGGGAGGCTGAGGTGGGAAAATCATTTGAGTCTAGGCGTCCAGGAGCTCCAGGCTATAGAGGGTTATGATCATACAACTTCACTTCAACCTTGGGCACAAAGCAAGAATCTGTCTCAAAAAAAAAAAAAAGGCCAGGTATGGTGGCTAAAGCCTGTAATCCCAGCACTTGAGGAGGCTGAGGTGAGAGAATTGCCTGAGCCCACAGATTCAAGAACAACCTGGGCAACTTGGCAAGACCTCATCTCTACAATAAATCAAAAACTTAGTCCGTATGGTGGCACGTGCCTGTAGATCCAGCTACTTGGAAGGCTGAGACAGAAGGATCACCTGAGCTCAGCAAGTCGAGGCTGCAGTGGTGGTGAGTGTGCCACTGTACTCTAGCCTGGTGGACAGAGTGAGACTCCAACTCAAAAAAAAAAAAAAAGCCAGACCCAGTGGCTCATACCTGTAAACACAACACTTTGGTAGGCAGAGGTAAAAGGATTGCCTGAGCCCAGGGGTTCAAGACCAGCCTGAGCAACTTGACAAGACCTAGTCTCTACAATAAATCAAAAAATTAGCTAGTGTAGTGGCACATGCCTGTAGTTCCAGCTGCTTGGAAGGCTGAGGCGGAATGATTACCTAAGCTCAGCAAGTCAAGACTGTGGTGGCTGTGAGCAATGCACTGCACTCTAGCCTGGGCAACAGAGTGAGACTCCGATTCCAAACAACAACAACAAAACCCACTTTCACTATAGTAAAACAAGTTAAAAAAATCAATCAACCCTTTTTCATTCTTTGATCAGATATTATTATAGACTATATGATTATTTACATAGAAAATCTAAATCAATATAAATCAATATACATTCATAAATTTTATTTTATTTTTTAGTCAGTCTCATTCTGTTGCCCAGGCTGGAGTGCAGTGGCATGCTCACAGCCACTGCAGCCTTGACTGCTGGGCTCAGGCAATCCCTCTGCCTTAGTCTTCCAAGTAGAAGCTGGAACTACAGGCGTGCGCCACCACTCCTGGCTAATTTTATAATTTATTGTAGAGACAAGGTCTTGCCATGTTGCTCAGGCTGGTTTCAAACCCCTGAGTTCAGGCAGTCCTCTCCTGTCTGCCTCCCAAAGTGCTAGAATTATAGGCATGAGCCACCACGCCTGGCTACATTCACAAAATTTTTGAAAATTTTGAATATCTTACCAAACTAAGTAGAGAAGGAACCTTCCTTCCTTACTTACTCTAATAAAATATATCTAGCAAAAACACTCAGAGTAAACAGCATCATACTTAATAATAAAGCTTTTGAAGTCAAGCATAAAATAAGTATGCACTTTATTATTACTTCTCCTCAACGTTATGGTAGAAGCCCTAAACATAGCAATAAGACATGAAAATATATACATTATTTCGAAACAAGAAAAAAGTATTATTTTAGACTATATGATTATTTACATAGAAAATCTAAAAGAATGAACAAACAAATTTTGGAACCAATAAAATAATCCAGGTATATTTCTGAATATAAGACCAATACATGTATTTAAAATATGTATTCTTGTATAAGACCAATACACATATTTAAAATATGTATTCTTAAACATAAGCAGCAAATAGTTTGAAGCTGTGATTTTCAGACTACACCTTTGCAGACTGGGCACAGTTGCTCAAACCTGTAATTCCAGCACTTTGGGAGTCCAAGGTGAGAGGACTGCCTGAACCCAGGGGTTCGAGACCAGCCTGGGCAACTTGGTGAGACCTCATCTCCACAATAAGTAAAAGAAAAAATTAGCCAAGTGTCGTAGCATGTGTTTGTAGTTCCAGCTATTTGGAAGGCTGAGGCAAAAGGATCGCCTGAGCCCAGCAGGTCGAGGCTGTAGTGGCTGTGAGTGTGCCACACTATACTCCAGCCTGGGTGACAGAGGGAGACTCTGATTTAAAAGAAAAAAAGGTTGGGGAGCAGTTGTGCATAGCAACCACAAAAGCAAAGTCCAGAGAATAAATATATTTCAGTTATTATTTTTCAGCTTCTTTCAGGTGGGCCTAGTATTACTACCACCCGAACGGGTATATTATATTGTGGGATAGGCATTAAGTCATTTAAGGTATTGTGTATCAAACTGGGAAAACCTGGTACCGTAAATAGCAAGGAAAGTTGGAGCGGGGTCTGTGCCCAGTGCTTCAGGGCTCAGGCTCTGATTCTCTTCATTTCTTTTGGCTTTCCCTTATTTGTCTGAGCTTTGTCTTAGGCTGATAGCAAGAGACTATAGCCATGCCAGGCATCCTGTCTGAATGTACAAAAGCATCATCTCTTCTGCTGAGAAAGTCAACATTTCCTAGAGTTTCTTGGGGGAACTTTTCTTCACAATTTGTCAGTCTAAATTGAGTCACAATTCTGTTCCTAAACCAGTCTCTGCCAAGGGAGGTGAGATAAACATAGATGGTTTAGTAAAGTGTATGGTTTGTGGAAGAAGGTGAATACCTCCTCAAAGTTTGGTGCTTTTAAGGAGAAAGGAGGAGGGGAATGGATGTTAATTAGGCAGTCAACAAAATCTGCTTCATTCATAAAGCTCACTGTGAGCGTGAAATATTTCTCCACTTTACTTTGTTCTGATTCCACCTTTATCTGTAATTCTACTGAGTGATACTTAACTTTTCCAGGTGCTTCATACTGGGAAAGTAGTGAGTGAGTATGTCCATCATTGGAAGCTTCTATCTCCCATTATGAAATTTAATTTTTGTTTTCTTTGAGTTGGAGTCTAACTTTGTTGCCCAGGCTGGAGTGCAGTGGCACGCTCCCAGCCACCACAGCCTCGACAAGCTGGGCTTAGACGATCCTTCCGCCTCAGCTTTCCAAGTAACTAGAACTACAGGCATGCGCCACCACGCCCAGCTAATTTTTTGATTTATTGTACAGATGAGCGGTCTCGCCAGGTTGCCCAGGCTGGTCTGGAACCCGTGGGCTCAGGCAATCCTCTCACCTCAGCGTCCCAGATTGCTGGGATTATAGACATGAGCCACTGTGCCGGGCAGAAATTTAAAATTTGATATTTTGGTTTAGGGTTAGGCTTTTCTGTTCCTATGGTTTCTACTATTTCTAAAATGTTATATGAATAGAATTAAAAAAGAATGTCCCTTTGTAGTCTGGCTTCTGACACTGTAATGTATTTAAAATTCATCAACCTGTTACCCGTGTCACTATTTTGTTCCTTTTCATCAGTGAGTAGGATTCCATTGTAAGGATGTTTATCTTTTCACCAGCTGAAGGGCATTTGGGTTGTTTCCAGGTAAGGGCAGTTATGAATAAAGCTACTATAAACTTATGTACAAGTTTCTGTATTAACACAAGTTTTCATTTCTCTTGGGAAAACTCTGTGTGTGGAATTGATGGCTCATATAGTGGGTGCATGTTTAAGTTCATAAGAAGCTGAAAAGCCAGGCGCAGTGGCT